AAACACCAAAACAATTTTTTACATAAGTCGATTATTTACAGTTTTGCATACCTTCATTTTTTTACCTTTTCGCAAAAAGGCGCAATTACAAATTTGCTAATATTTGTTATTTATTAACTCAATACAGTTTTATCTTTTAGATTTAGTCAAAAAATATTTTTTTTTGTGCACGGATACTGATTTTGGTGTGTTTTAACAATTGAATTGTGTATTTTTATCGGTTTAATATTAATTTGAGAAACATTTGCGCAATTATCGCAGGGCCTACAAATTTAGTATCACCATCTTTTTATTCTACCGGGCCTGCGCTTTCAGAAAATATATGGTTTGGGGGGTCTTTTACAAACGCTAGCAACGCAGCAGTTGAAAATCAAATCAATAGGAAAAAATTGCAGAAAATTCAAAAATGGCTTGGCCAGCTGATTTGAAAAATGTTCCGGAGGGCTTGGCAGCGAAAGGGTTAAGTCCCAATGAAAGCTGAGTTGCAGTACAACTCTGCATTTCTAAAAGATGAAACATGCATACATATATACACATTTATTCCTTATCATCTTTGGTGTAATTCAATTCAAGGCAATATCGCAGTAATATGGAATGTAAACAGTATACCAACTCAGCACAAACTTTTAAAATATGATTGCTTTCTGAATGTGTTCATAAACTGTGGAGATTTTTCTTTCCCGCTATGCGGTTTTATATCTTGAACATAGATTTAGAAGCAGTCCTTCAGTCAGCGGTTTAATGGCACGATTGGGTACATTTTAGGCATTACTGTAATTCTAAGTGGACACATTTGTCTACATCAGCCTAGCTTCTCAACACCATAAATCCAAAAGTACAATAAGCAGCCTAGCTGGATGTGTCAGTCAGGAGATCACAGATGGGATTGACACAAAGACCTCACCATAGTGTATGCACGTTTTAAATCTAGTTTCCATAATACCTTATTGTTTAAAGAAGCTGACTGAAATATAGAAGCTTGAAATGAATAATGCATCCATTTCTCTTTTTGACAGATAAAAAATGGGAACTTTATCTTGGCCCACAGCGACTTTCATAACTGTGGTTGCTACTGTTTATTTGGAAGCGAAGACAACCCCACCGACAAAGTACACTAAAAAAGCGTACAACATGGAGATTGTGAATGTCTTCGAGACTTCGATCGCACCACCGACAGAGGAGACTGTTTTCACTGACATGCTTGAAACCAGTGACACCACCACTGAATTGGCCACTTTAAACCCTGATTTCAGGACTGCCACCACTCTTTATCCTTTTGACAATTTTACTCTTGAAACAGCTGATTTTTTCTTTAACTGTTGTGACTGCTGTACACCTCTAGCTGGACCAAAGGGTGATCCTGGACCAATGGGACTGCCAGGTAAATCAAACTTAAAAAGTGTTTTTTTTTGTTACAGTATTTCATATATGTACTCTGGGAATGGTAAATAGATTAGTCAGATGTCGTGTTTTAAAGTACAGAACATAGGTGGATAAATGTGCCTTTTTAGATGCATGTGGAGGCCACCAATGCTGAAATTGTTGGAAAGTTTATGCAGATTTGACTCTTACCAGTCAAGAAGGTGCTGTACACATGGCTGAGCCCCTTTTGGTATATTGGAAAACACCAGGAATACACAGACAGGAATTTACATCATAACTATGTAGCTCCCCAAGAAAGAACATTACATTATATATCATCGGTTGCCAGGGGGCTGAGTGGGATGCTCTAGTTGGCGTCCCGGCAAGCTGCTAGCAACTAGTGACTTCAGTGAGCTTGGCGGGAGTGGACAGCACGGCTCTAACACAGCCGGCCATCCCACCGCATGCACTGCAAAGCACCCCCCTGTACAATCAGCAGCACCTGTTGCCCACCCCCCAGCACTATCAGCAGCATCTGCCCCTCCTAACCCCACCACACCCCCTGCTCCACTGCCTCAGGTTGCATATAGGGTAGGGACGGCCCTGCCTGGGTTGATCTCGTGCGGTACAGTGCAGGACACAGGTATATGTGTGAACAGGCCCTTACTGTAGCAAACATACAGTATATACCTTCTCTAACACAAAAATGTTCCATTTTGAAGGCTTTTCTTTAGAAACATGTACATACACTTTGCTTCCAAAGACCTTGATGTGTTTCGGGTCAGGCTTTGAATTCCGTAACTCTGCCATGTTCCTATTCCCTCTCTTTATGGCAAACTTTAAGTGTTTATAATATAAATAAATGTATATCCATCCTGTACTCTAGAGGGTGCGGTACAGAAGCTTGATTATGAATGTATCACACAATCACTGCCATGGAGTCTCACTTCTCAAGTTATTCAAAATTCTTAAAGGTTGTCTGTGCTTCCTTCCTTTCTCTGCTGTTATAAAGACAGATCCAGGATAAAATGCACAATTCTCTAAAGAGTGCCAAATCTGGCATACAGAGCTTCTCGCATCACTTTAATCAAGTCCCCCATATTAAATCTTTAAAGTTCTTTTACCATACACAGTAAGTATAGAAACCAACATATAAGTAGTAGAAAATTAGTTGTCCCTCAGATTTGCATTTGAAAAATACTGAGTTGTATTCCTAATTGGTCCACATCCCTGTAAGAAAGCAGTTTTAATGTGATATAGTCACTTCAGCTGACTTAGAGTAAATTTGATCCTGTAGAATGTAATATGTAGTTATACTTATGTGCCCAGCGTTCCTTTATAGATGCTCAGTACATCACAGTCTTTACTCAAGAGTTACAATAGTGTCATTGACACTGTTCCACCAAAGATTAAATCCTTTCAGCAGTGCCCCACTGTCCCTTCTTCCCTGTAATTCATGGCACACTGGTAAACTCACGGCTGCTGCTACCAAGCAGTGTCTCAGCAAGCCTCAGCTCACCCGCCTTCCAAGCCTCACTTTAACCACCGCTGTTCCCAGTGTAACACAAGGTGCTCTACAACGATCTATACTACTTACAGCATCAGTCTGTCTCCCATCCTTCCAATTCTACCACACACTCATCCAAATGCTTTTCAATTGAATCTCCACTTTCATGGGGGAATGGGGCCAGGCAGAGAAATGCAGGCTCCCATTGAAGGCAGAGATTTTGTTAAATATGTTGCCAAGGAGGGAGAGTGGAGCATGCCATAGCTACACACAGTTGCCAGTGGGTTGCCACATAACAGTGCCAATCATTAGTATGAAATCCTTGGTGATATTGAATCTGATAAGTGTTTGTGGTTTGGACTCTTGTGAGTAGTGGTTATCTTTTATAAATAAAGTTCTATTTTATTAATTACTTCCGTAAATGTGTTTTCCCTTCTCTACCATTATATACATACAAAAACTCATATAATGTAGACTTTCTGTAAGATTAATGTAAGGATGGAAGCCAGACTATTAACAGTATGGTGGTGACCTGTGTTTTTCTGTCGCCACTAGGGCACATACAGTAGAGGCGGTGCGGTGGACTGTGCAAAAATGCAGACATGCTTTCCTGGAGTCTAAGCTTGCATAGGGCCATAGAGATCTTAGTGAACGAAAGTGGTTGTAAACCCAAAAGCAAAAAACACATTAAAGCCTTTACAATAAATTTCTTTAACAATGTGTGCCTTCCCTTTTGTTTTCATATTTTAATTTGATGAAAATACCTGCTGATCCTGGCTTGTCTGCAATGGCAGTGCTCTGTAGGTTCATGGTCCCTCTGTACATTGTGCATGCCTCATATAAAAAATAAAAGCAGAGTCTAAGGCTTAAACTGCATGGCCTGAACAATGGACAGGACCAAGCCACAGCACATCACCCTGACGCTGCCAGTCAATACTCCTCCAGTCTGCCGTGCAGTCAATAGCAATAGCAGCAATGCTTTTATCTGCCCCGTCAAGTGGTACTGCATGTGATGAGGCAGCTAGGAGCCTGAAGATAGTTGCTGGGTGCCCATTGTCTGAGACATGCAGAGCCCAAAGGAGTGGGGTGGTCACATAGCTAGTATGATTTTTTAAACATATTCAGTGCTTGATGCTCTATTTGCATTAACATTTCCTGCAGAGATTTGAACACAATATCATGTGGGTTTACAACCCCTTTAAGTCTGGGGGCGGTCTGCCTCTTGCTATGTGTGGGAAAACATTTCCTGGTCATTTTTAATTTTATGCAGCTGGTATACTTTATTATTGAATCCTTGGGTCAATTTTTATGCCACTGGAATGCTGATTTTCATCTTTGACGTTGTTAACGGTTTCACTGCACGCTAGCTGATACAGTCCTCCTGTGCTTTTCTTTAGATATTATATGGCTTGGTTTTGAGATAATACAGCTGTTACCTCTAAGTGTCACTACATTTCCTTGCTTAGTGAGCTTCTCCACTGATAAAGGTTACTTTAAAGAGTAGGGAAATATAGTAAATTTTTGATGGGTATCTTTCTGATGACTGGGATAGAAGGCAGTTCCTTATTCTCGTATTCCTTCTGATATCATATACTGCCCATTAGTTGTTCTAATTTATGCTCTCTTTTCTTAACCAAGCGAGTGAAGACATTTTTATTATTGGTCATATGACTTGTAGCTCCAGAGTCAATTTACCAGGTGAAAAAATAATGTGGCGCCCTGTTGGAAGTAAAGGCACATTCTGCATTCTGTTTCTTCTTTAAAGGGTAATTCCACTTTCCCAGGTGAATTTGGGAAAATTGAATTACCCCTTCTAATCTGGCCCCCTTTTCCCCCACTGTACTTACATTTGGCTGAATTCTTCTTCCCCTCGGCCGGTGCCAGTGAACTACCTGTACTTCGTACATGGCAGCGCAGCCTTGCGCTCTGTTTTTTTTATTTCCACTCGCTAGCATTGAGCACTATTTAGTCAGCGTGGACACCTGACTGTGGTGACCAATGAGAAGCGCTTCTTAGCAAGCAAAATACCCCTGAAACAGGAAGCAACTTATTGGTAAGCCATTAAGAGCTGTCTGTTTGACTTCTTCCTCACATCCATCAATGTATACCCAAGCAACTTCTCCTAGCCCACTCCTCATTCTTAAAAACCTTCAGTGGTCCTAGTGTACCTCTAAGTTTTTTTCTGGCATAACAAGTCATATATCTAATGAAAGAGATAATATCCTTTAGATGTTCTATTGTAGATTCCTTTACAGTCAATGTGGACTGGATTTAAAAAAAACGTTTTGTTTGTGTTTCTTTCTGTTGGGTCTTGGGTGGCATACAATGTATCCATTAGCATGGCCTGATGCAGTAGTATTTTAAAGTCCATTAATGGGGATGGGGTGGGCTGGACCCATCTACGCAGTATGCATTTCTTTTTTTCCCCAAGATACATATATGTTTCCTATTTCATCAATGCAGAGTCTTGGTCTACACGTGGGTTATATATAATATGGAACAATCCCATATTCTTCCTAGTATCCATATTCATATAGATAATTGTATCTGTCCACAGGAGATTAATAAAATTCTCAGTGGTTAGCTTGCATTTGGGGCGTTCTAAAAACCATCCTGATGGTGGATTTTTAAATAAAATATTAAATATCTGTCCAGGATTTGGCGATTACTGCTCATCTCATGCCATTACACCTCCTACATAATACATCCTCAGTATCCTCCACAGAGCAACCAATAATTTTGCCCATTGTTTAACTTGAGAGACTTCTGAAAGATGATTTAATAATGCTTTGGAGGGTAATCCTATCTTACCCTCAAGATAGCTCTTAAGAAATGTTTCACCTGTTTGGTCACATTGTGGTGATAACATCTATTGGAAAGACAAAAGGCCTTTTGCTGTCCAATCCGAATAAACTTTATGCCGTTGATCCCCAAGAAATTACTGGGGAGGATGTCAAAAGTATTGATGCAGACAGCACTTCCTTTGATTTTTAAATTGTTTCCCCAGTTCCTTGTTATAATAGTTTCTATCAATAGCACATTACACCAAAGTTGAGCCAAAGGAGTTTGGATGACACCATGAAATAATAAGGGTGCTTCCAACTGAGCCTCCAGAGTGACACATGTGTGTGTCATTTAACCGATCCTGCACAAGCTTTGTTAAGCTAGCCAAGTTATAAAGTTGAAGGTCCGGGAAATGAACCCCAGTATCTATCATACTGTGGCTTACTTAACCTGCCAAGATATATTCTCAGATTTTTCCCCTCCACAGGAATGCCTTAAATGCAGTTTGTATATCTTTATGCTTCATTAGAATGGGAGAATTCTGTAGAGGATACAGCAGGTGGGGAAAAGTCTCAGCAAAAATGTAATTATTTTTGCTATTTTAGCTATGAGTGGTTAGTAGTTTCTAGAATAAAGTTTGTCCCTGGGGACTATTATTGTGTCCTGGGGACTATTATTCCCAGATATGTGATGGCATAATTTTCGATATTAAATCCACAGTGAGTCAT